TTGAAGAAAAGGATGTAAACAAGAAGAGTGAGGAGAGTCAAACCATTTCAGAATGAAAGAAGCGTTAAAGACTTAGTATTTTATAGTCTGGAGAACACCTTGAGGGATCCGATCCTGGGTCAGCTCGTGCAGTAAATTATTTGTTGAGCACTTGCTGGGCACTGAAGGTTCATGATCTGAGTATGAGCAATCATGCAGTTTCTGATCCACCTAATTCTATCAGCACCCACTCCTCGTTTTACTTTCTTGTTCACAAGTATTTTTGATCATGAGAGACCTGCCCAAGCCTTCTATCCTCCAGATAGGTCCCTGGGGCTGTTTTGTATTCCTGTCAAAGTATTTTCACGAGTCCTTGCTGTCTCTAAGCAAACACTAATGTTTAAGTTTTTGGGTTTTTTTTGTTTTAGCTGAGCCATCCTGCCACCTGTTGTCGGTTCAGCTTGGGCCCATGTGGGAATCGAACTGGCAACCCTGTTGCTCAGAGCTCGCACTCTTGAGCGAGCTCTTAATCAGTTGAGCCACTTGGCCGGCCCAAGTTTTTAAAAACATCTTTTTAATAATGTATTCCAGGATATTCTCCAGGATTAATGTAAGGTTTACCAGTTGCAATTTGTGGAAGCTTCATGCCTCCACATGCTTCAAAAATTAGATAGGTAGTCTTCAGCTGATTCCTCAAAGGTGATTGACAGGTTTGCCCATCGTGGTGGTAGGTTGTTAGTTCCTAGCATGTAAGTGATTAGACGATTGAGTACCTGGATGGTCTCTTAATATCTACCTGTCTTTACCTTTTCTAGTGTTTTGTGAAATTAAACCCCTAACAAGAAAAAGCAGAAACAATATGCATATTTGACAGTATCCCATTAACTCTCTTGCTAGCTCTGAATTTAATTTGTCGCCTCTCCCATTAATCTGTTTTTGGGCAGTCTTATATTATTCCTGTAGGTCCAGCTGAGGCATAGTTAGCCTGGGTTTGTAATCCTTTCTAGCTTATATTAAACTACTCCCTATACAGCGACAGCTGCTTTATTTAGGTACTTTTTTTTTTCATTATTAAAATTACTTTTGATATTATGTGCTCTGATTTATCTTGAAGAGCTTTCCAACTCTCAGAAACCATTAATGTAACACACTGTGGTTTATATTTATACTAACAGCTCTTTGTTGCTATGAATACTATAGATTCTGAGTTAAAAATCTTATATAACAAATGTAGTCTATTTAGCAGTTATTCTATTGAGTCAGAACACTATATCATGGCAATATGTCCCATTAGTACTAAGGAGATGTAGGGGTAGAAGCTTATTTGAATGCTGCATTTTATTGATGTTTGATGTTTTCATAGTGCTTAATTAATTTCCCTACCCCCTACCCCAGGGTAGAAGAGAGTTGGGTCCCAGGCTATAGACAAACTGCTAATTTGTTTGCAATTTGAATTATTTTTCCATAGGAAGGTGGAGTGATAGGAAATGACCAGACAATCCACATTTGACATGTATCAGATATTACTAAAGCATTTGAGAAACCTCATGGGTTATACCATGAACTGCCAGACCTACCAGTCAAGCTCATACCCAGTTAATGGTCTTTCACAAAGCAACAAAGTACATGGCAGCTTGCTTGTATGTGTTTCTTTTAAAGCCTGTTCAGTAGTTTTCAGCTTGAGGACCGACCACTCATGCTAATCAAGTTCTCATAATTCTTTGCTCTCCAAATCAACATATTTAGAAAATGTCAGCTATTTGCATAGAAAGTAAATAGAAATGTACTTGGAAACTAGCAAAATATTTTCCTTGGTACAACACTTCTCTTTTCCTCCATTTATATGTTTATGATTAGTGTTCACAGAATGTTATTGCCATGGTGCAAATAATGACTTCTGTGTGTCTCTTATACCCTGCAGGGGGTGGGCTTTCATCTTAGTTGTGGCTACATCATAGCATTGTGATATACAGAGCCCGTTCAAGTGATCTGTATTTAAAAGTATACATCTAGTTTACTGATCTATATAATTTAACACCCACAAATGTACATCTCTCATTAATGAGTTGTACAGTATAATTGTAAATTAGAAATTCTGACAGCAAAAATATTTTAAAGCAACATTCTTTTCAAAGGGGAAAGATAAAAAAATTGATACCATGGCTAGCATTGCTCATAAAAGTACTCATATTCACCCTTTTAGGAAACTAATAATGTTGGTCTCAAAAAACTTAAGCTCTTTTGCTTAAATCAATCACTGATCTGCAGTCAGACCAGCAGCTAATGAGTCTCTGGTACTAGTATTATAGCTTAGAAGATGGTTCTCAACTAATACTAATAACATAGCTCAGAAGATGGTTCTGAACTAGTAGTATCCCAGGACATCAAGAGAAAAAAATGTTCTGTTTCTGAATATGTTGAATAGCTTTCTTAGGATAATTTTACTTAGAATTGAGCATTCTAAAGCTAAATGTCTAAAAGGAGTCACTAGCTCTGCTGCTTGTTCTGCTTGGTTTTGGAAAATAGTATTAACCACATGAGGTGATTGATCTGTGGGCTCGGAGTGAAGGTTTTATCCTACATTAATTTATTAATGTACATTGTGGAAGTGAAGATGTACTGAACATCTTGACATGGAAAAGAATGAGTAAGTTAATTTTATTGTACAATGCTTTTTCTAAATATTTACATTTCTTTGGTTACCATGTAAATTCTGGAGAAGAAACATTTCTTAAATAATAGATTGGTGACTGGGTAGACCCTAAAACTACTAAGGAAAACAGAATGTAGTTAAGCCACCTGTATTCACGGTTTGTTAAAATCTAAGTTAACCTTTATGGTGCTGTACCACTGTCCAAAGAAAATGCCCTTAAGTAGTCCTACCTTCTTAGAGTTTGCTTGGTTTATTTTGCTTTTGTAAATTTAATAAAAAATGTCTCAAATGTTTCTTTGTGTAGTTTATGGATAACGGTTGAATCTGTGTGTTAATTCAGTACAGCAGCCAACTGGCTTGAGTATGACTCTTAGGCTGTCTCTCTGCCTCACCTCCCCCACTGTTTTGAGGGGGTATCCCACAGGTTAGGCAGAGAAGACACTCCGAAGAATGCTGGAATTACATATTATTAAACTTAATTGGAAAATTATATTTGAGTAGTGCCATCCCAAGTTTCTCTGTTATGGAATAATTGATGTTTGTCCTTAAACTTGGGATTAAAGTAGTTGAGTTAAGCATTTTAAATGTAGAAGACTTCAGTAGTACTTGCAATGGAAATTGAGAAATGCATGCACTTTGAAAATTCTATTATTAAAGGATTTGATAAATCCATGCCAATATTTTCCCTCCATTGTCATAAGTATTCATGAATAAGCTGTATATTTATATTGGGAGAAAGCTAATATAAGATTTGATTTGGTCATGTCAATTTTAGTGGCTTCCTAAAGTTTAATTGAATATCATGATTTTAAAATTGTATTTGGTTGTAATATCAAAATCATGAGGAAGGTCAATCTATGATTGTACCCTGTACTTTAAAAAAAGTAACTTTCTTGCTGTAATTTTTGGCATTTATTTGTTAGATAAGAAACCCCTAGTTTAGACATTCAGACACTGGCAGGATATGTGATTCTCCCTTCTTCCTTAGTATTCTAATAAAACCTGAAGCTCTAGAAGCAATATTAAAATATTGATTTTACATTATGGTACATACTGGTTCTCTGGTCTGAAGTTCGCAGACACCACTAGTAATTGTTTTAAAGTGTTCTCTAATGAAATTCAAGTACTTCAGGAGCACTAAGAAGAGTGAGACAAAGTAAGATTTTTGGTAATTATAGGAGCATTTAAAAATTGATATGGTGAAATTCACTTTGTCTTGTGTGTAAGTGCCTACAACCACTGGTTCATATGTGATTACCAGTAGCCAAGTGAGCCATGGACCTACCTTACGTGATGCTGAAACCACTGATGTCTGTTAACAGGTGGCTTGGACTCATTGTATAATCCTGTTTATAATCCAAATGACTGCTTTTGGTAACTCGACGTTGAATTTAAAGACAAAAAGACGTTTGATAGCATAAGGTAAGGTGAAGGAGAGAATTGGAGATTGTTAATCTGTAGATACATTTAAGTACTTTATAAAAGTGAAAGAGATTAAACATCCCATGTAGTTTCTCGGGTGAAACAAATGAATGCTCTAAAAACAGAACAGCTGTTTGAAGTAATGATTCCTTGTCTCTGAAAATGTCCTAGCAAATGCTGGATAATCACTTGCTGGGGGTGATCCGATAGGTGACTAGATAAATCATACTATTCCTTACAATTTTGTATGTCTATGAAGTAGAAAAAAGGAGAGATTTTGAGAGAAAAAAAGGGTAAAGGTTAATTAAATAATTTTAGCTTGGCTACTTACACACAAATTTTCATACTTAATTACTATGTCATATGTCACCCAGTAGTTGCAAATAGTAAAATGAGGTAAAAGTGTGCTAAGTAAATGCAGTCAGATATTTTTCCATATGCTTTTTCAGCATTATCTCCAGATACAATAAACCAGAGCAGCCAGTGCATTTCTAAAAAGGAAAATTATATAGCAATTTTTCTAGCTTCTATAAGAGATGAAAAAGACACAAAGAAATTTGTCAATAAATGCTTTAGGACTATCTGCACATAGACAACTTAAATTCGAGTTGACAACACTAGAAGTTTAATAAAAATGTTAGCTCTTAAATTTCTGACATGGTCATATATATATATATATATATATATATATATATATATATATATATATATGCTGTTCGAAATTCTTTACATAGACAACTTAAATTCGAGTTGACAACACTAGANTGCTATTTGTAAAAAGTTAAACATGGGAATAAAAGTCATTAGCATCTTTATCTATGATTCCAAGAAAACAGTGATTATTATTTTTTTAATGGAAATTTTGTTGCCACCTACTTTCCAAATTAGCAATTAATTGATTTCAGTGCCCAGGCATTTTGATAACTGGCTTGTGTTTTTCTTCCAGCTTGTACTTCCAGAGTACCTCATCCATGCTTTCTTCTGTGTCATGTTTCTTTGTGCAGCAGAGTGGCTTACACTGGGTCTCAATATGCCCCTCTTGGCGTATCATATTTGGAGGTAATATTTAGATATATTTCTAATACTTTTCCTAATTAAATTTTAATTACACTACGGTTGATGTGGTTATCTTACGTGCTAGTCACAGAAATGACAACTGAAATTAGTTGGTATTTATTTTAAAAATCAAGTGGATGAACAAATAACCATTTTAATAATGTCTTATGGAACTTACATTATTATTCTTAAAAGAGGTTTTTTAAAAAATGAGATAAAACTAACATACAATAATGTAAGTCTAAAGCATACATACAGCTCAGTGAATTTGTACGTAAGTATACACCTGTCAAGCCACCACCCAGATTGAGACATACAATGTTCCAGCCCCCCAGAAAATTCCCTTGTGCCCCATCTCAGTCAGTTACCCCTGTATATCCGAAGGAGAACCAGTGACCTCTATAAAACTAGATTAATTTTGCCTGTCTTTGAACTTCAATATAAATTAATATGTACATGTGTATCTAAATTTTTTCTTCATGTTTACCTTATGACTTTAAATTTGGTTATTTGTAAAAGATATTTATATTTTATACCTTCTAAAAGTTCTATCTGATCTATATAGAGTTAAGAGTTTTTTTGTTTTAATAGGCATGTAAAAATCTCATTGCTCTCAATTTTAGAAAATATATATTGAAGAAGTGTTTAGGAGTAAAGTGGCTGAAGCTGACTCTGAAATGGTTTAAAAAAATGTATGCATAGTTAGAGATAGAATGAGAAAGAGAAGGATAAAGCAAGTGTGGTAAGTGAACATTTGGAACGTCTGAGTGAAGTGGTCTTGTACCTTTTCTGTAAGCCTAAAATTGTGTTAAAACTAAAAATCTTGTTTCCTTTATATAGTTATTCCTGTTTTTCTTGGATTTCTGATAAAGTATAGAGTAGATCAGATGTGACTTGTTTAGCTGTCCTGCTCTGCTCATTTAGGGGCTCTAGTTTCAAAAAAGAAAAGACCTCCGTCTATAACTATTGGGTTGTTGGAAATGTCATGACGTATTTTGTCTATGCTTTTTAAAGGTCATTTATTTATATAAAGAACAAAGATCAATCAATGATATATTGCCTGTTCGATAACCTTTTGCCATCTTTCAGTGAGCTTCATAATTCCTTGTTCATAGAAGGACCTGTCTTAATTTGTGAAAAACTGAACAAGGTGCTGATTTACAGTCTCATCTGACTTGAACGTTATACCACTCAAGGAGTTTTGAAGAGAGCGAAACAAGTGAAAGTCTGACGGTGCAAGGTCAGGAGAGTATGGTGGGTGTGGCAACACATCTCATCCAAGCGCCAATAATTTTTGACAGGTGATCAGACTTGTGTGTGGTCTCGCATTGTCATGATGGAACACAACTGCTTTACAATTAACAAGCTCTTTACGTTTCTGGATGATGGATTCGTTCAAACTGTCCAGTTGCGAACAGGACACATTC